GCTGTTTTTCTAATAAGAACTAAAGTTTAATTGCAAAACATCATTTTTCACTCAGACACCTTTTCTCTCCCTGAAGCAATCTCAGACACCTGCATACATTCATAATTCCATCATCCTCAATCTTAGCACATCCAACACAAGGTCTATTTGTGCAAGCTTAAAATATCAACTGTTAAAGATTGTCCAACAAGGTTGCCAATGTTGATTGTTTTTCCTATGATTGTCAATTCAAATCGTTACTTTAAATTGAAGAATTAAAACTCTTAAATTTTAAACTTGTCTTTTCATTGAGCAACACCTGTGAAATTGTATTTGCAAGAAAGAAGTGTGTCCCGTTTATTGAAGTATTTTGTGTTTAGTTTTTGACGTCTTGTCCATGCGTAGTTCAGTTACGCTCATAGCTGCTAGCCAAAACTCTGGAGTTAAAAGTTTTCTGGCTTTACTAAAATACCTGTCTGTACTTATTTGATTGATGGTAGATGGTTTCTATTAGACTCCAAATGTAATCATTTGGCACGTTTCTAATTCATAATTTGTAAGAATGTAATCGGTGATATTAGCATTAGCATTCTATGGGTTTTTCCACGTATATTAGCATTGCGCTAACCACTCGCTGCCAAGTTGCAGCCATTAGAAAATCTCCTTTTGTCACATCGCAATTTAATTGCACATGCGGTTAATCGTTCAGCCCTAATATACATGCAGCTCTATGCTAAAAGTGTATTTTCAAAGAGGTAATGATGGATTTCTTTGTAAAAGTTGTCCATCTTTCCAACAGAGAAATTTGCCTGGACCAACGTAACGTGATAACAACGTAACGTGATTACGTAACTTCCGTAAGATTCATGTTCAGCCAATCAACTACTTTGACGTCATCGGCAGTCGACGGACCCCGAGCCGATCTTGCACCCGAGCAGATCTTGTACCGACACCGGGTTGTCCTCAATTTCTGAGCCGCACTGTGGGGGCTTGGGCAGGACTGCAGGAACTGAGGCTTGCAGCAGATATCAGCCATAAGCTGGAACTGTGCCTGTTGCCTAAAGTTTGTTTTTTAAATATCTATATCCCTTCTTTCTGGTAGGCTCATCGGTGACCATGTCCCAAAATGATCAGAACAACCTCAGTTATGTGTGGCACGCATACTGAAAACACATCATATTAGCAACAAGTACACAACTCATTCTCACTTCCTGGCTTTTAGCAATTTACCAAGTGATTTGCCAAAAAGTGACTCAATTACCCTGATGTCACCTATAATCTCCATTCAGGATGTAGATCATCAAGTTTTTAAATTGTCTCTGTACAAATCAATGAAGAAATTTAATTCTTAATAAAAATTGCTTTAAATTTCCTCATTTAAACTTTGACACATTTTGGCTGTGATTGTAAGACTCACAAGTTAGTTGAGCGACTTGACTTGAATTAGTGTGACGTTTATTCCCAAATATTTTTTTATCATGTTGATGTTTGTTCTCCACTTTTAAACTTGTTATGTCAGCCATTTGGGCTACATGATTGCATACGCGAACATACACAACATAGATTGCGCATGCGCACAATAAAGGGCACCGTTAATTTCGACGGACCAGACTCATCAGAAGGCAGTGACATTAGTAAGTTTATATCTACTTTCCAAGGGTGTCAGTTTGTTTTCAGAATTGCTGGGGACAATAACCATACACTTGAGTGGGGTTTAAAAATTGCTGGGGACAATAAAGTAGGCTAGCACAGGGGTCGGCAATCCGCGGCTCTGGAGCCGCATGTGGCTCTTCCATCCATCTGATGCGGCTCTCTGTGCTTGTAAAATAATGAATGGATATTTAAATAAAATGCTTTATATTTTACTGCATTAATTTTACACCTGTATGCCAATTCTAAATGTAAAGATTGTCTGCGTAAACCTGAACAGGTCCAACCCGGTCTTACTGTGAGACCGGGTTGACGCGTCACGCTTGTGCGTAATCATAGGCGCTTTCTGAGCTGAAGAGGATGTGAGATTCTGGGACTCTCCTCAGACGGCTCCTGGATGTGTCGCCACATTGGAGACAGGAACAAGCGCTATTCAGCCAAAGTTTCATCATCAGGGAACATTTTCTAAGTGACAAGTCTCTCTGAGAGACAGGGTTTGGAAAACGCTCGCTTCAGTGGGAGGAATCTATCCACATGCGCTCTGGGTGGCTCTGGGGTTAATCAAGTTTAATTGTTTCTCTTTGCAACAATCTTCACAGGAAGGCAACACAGTTAAACGGCAGGTTACAGATATTTCCATTTGACTGTTTATTTTGACAGATGAACTCAAGGATGTTGCTTGGTTTGAAAGAATTACCCCGACGCACACTGATGCGCATGGATGAGCTGACATTTTAATCGTTAACGCACATCGCGGAGGTAAAATATTCCCATCAGAACATCAGAGCTTTATACTGGACACTGTGTTCAGCGTGGCTCAGAGCGCCCACGGTGGACAGTGAGCTGAAGATCTGGGGTTCGCAGCGCAGTGCAGAACCACGGCCATGCGATAAGATTTCCTCCCACTGAAACAGTCTGGAAACCCGGTCTCTCTGAGGGATGTGTCACTTGGAAAAACGTTCTTTTTATGAAATTATGAAACTTTGGCTGAACAGCGCTTGTTCCCGTCTCTAATATGGAGACGCATGATGCGTAGAGACATTTGATCACGCACAAAGTTTATGTGGAGCAGAAGCGGTCGGGCCACGGCAGGTGAAACGTTCCTAGCCTACATGAAGGGAAACTGTTTAATTGTAACATTAATATGTTACTGGACACACTGGTCTGGTTTGTTAGACCAGTGTTTGAAGTGAAAAACACACACACACACACACACACCAATTAAAATAATGCTGATAGCATGGACTAGAAGACAGGTGATGGTTTACGTGTTTAAATGATGATCAGGCTGCTGTAAAATGTAATCTCCATCCACATCCAGACAGAATTATCCTCTATTCTGTCTCTATTTGCTCTGCTCTTGTCTGGGCTGATCAGCTGATGGTGCGCGCGGCGCGCCTAACTAGCGGCTGGTGCACATTTTACGCATTTGGAGAGGTGGGCTGGATGCTTTGCGTTTACGGGAAGATGGTCCACTTAACGCACGGGTGTAGACTACATATTAATGACAAATGAATGAAAATTAAATTGTGAGTTTTTACTTCATATTTTATAATAAAAAGGACGGGGGAAAACATTTATGACATCTTTTTAAACTAAATTTTCTAGCGCGACCTGCCTGCTTCACTTAAGTCACTGCTTATTAAGGTCCGTCCAAAATTACCGTGGGAAATGGGTATAATGGCTCTTTGATGGGAATAGGTTGCCGACCCCTGGATAAGATCTGAGCTGGTAAAACAAAAATCCTCATCAGCAGGCGTTTTTGAAAGTGGGGGGGACACAGCTGCCAATCACAAATTTTGCCGGGGACATGTCCCCGGCGTCCCCGGTTAAAATGACGCCTATGCTACTTTCTATTTAGACATTAGTCAGCATGTTGACATGTTGGTACGCCTAGTGTTAACTACTATTGCTTTTCAAAATCATTTTATGGAGGAGGGAAAATGGCGCCTGGTGTCTGCAGGTGAGGCCTACAGGCCGCTGTTGCAGGTAAGGGACTCTATTAGTTATTTATTGTTTGACGTGCTTTTCTTACTTTTGAATGACTTAAGCAACTGTATGAATCAATAAATAAGTGGCTAATCAAGTTTAATTAGGTTTACAGCCTGAAGGTGCATTCCAGCTTCGCTTAATTAGCAAACGTTTTCTTGGACGGACGGTTATTTAATTTCAAGGTGGTTAAATTGGCAATAAAAATAAATAAATAGGCGAGGAATGTTTGAGTGGAGCTAAAGTTGGCTGGAGTGGGAGTGGTGATAAATGCATCGTCATAAATAATATTTAGGACAGTTTTTTTATACGGTTCCTTGTATTTATTTTAATATTTTTTTATTTAATCAAACTTAACATTTTCTTTCCCCCAGCGCGTTCATACATGAAGCCCAGTACAGTTTTATTAAATTTCATAGATTGCCTGAGAATAGGAAAGGCAGCTTTATTAATATAGCACGTTTCAAACACGGGGCAATTCAGTGTGCTTAATAATAAAGAATATAGTTCGCATAGTAAACGCTTGAAGCTTATTTTAAAATAAAGATGAAGAAAAGTTTTATTTATTTATTATTTTTACCGATTCGGGCTGTTTTGTTTCTTATTGGACCAAAGTGTACCACGTGACCCGGAAGCAAAGCCGTGTTTTTTTTCCTCAACTTAACTTTTTATTCAGTTTGCATCCACACAGCATCGTGACGTGACTCGATCGCGTAACGCTCCCACGACAGCATTTATGTGGTCTCTGGTTTCATTATGAGCTTAAATATAAAATGATGTATTTATAACCGTGAGTCAGAATGACAATGAGCAGAATCACTTCATGTCCTCAGACCCTTTAGCGGTATCGCTTCTCGGCCTTTTGGCTAAGATCAAGTGTAGTATCTGTTCTTATCAGTTTAATATCTGATACGTCCCCTATCCGGGGACCATATATTAAATTGATTTTTGGAACAGGGAGATGGAATAGTGGCTTGCTCCGTCCACTCCACGCATCGACCTGGTATTGCAGTACCTCCAGGAACGGTGCACCCCCTATCTGTGTGAAATGATAAAATAGGAATGAGTTAATTCATAAGGAGAATAACGGAGTTAATCTAACAGTTCCGCATTGCATGTGGCAGTTCTGGATTAGCATTCTATAAACCAGCACCAAATTTAACATATACTGGGCGGCTGTTCAGCAGGGCAAGTGCATGTTGAATCAAGCTGTCACTTTATTTCTTTTCATCAGATGTTGAGCTGTGTCATTAATAGTAATACAACTTTTATATGACATTTCTGTTCGCCATACATAAATAACATGTTTTATGCTCTCATGAGCCGACCGAAAACTCCCTATTGTTGAACCGCGGCTTTACCCGGAAGACTTTCCTGGTATGGGCGGGGCCTAACTGTGAGTTGTACCCATAGGTTGTACCTCAGAACGAACTCTGACTAACGGGAGCGGCGATACACTTTTTTGTTTTTTACAATTATTAGAGTAAGAAAGAGTTATTGACAGTAATTAGTAACATGGGGATTCGAGCAAGCCGGGACGACTACGAATGGGTGTACTCAGATCAGCCACACGCCGACAGGAGGAAGGAGATCCTGGGTGAGCTAGCTTCTCCGTTAGCAACTTTATCAGCAGCTTATAACGTTCTTCACCTCCGATCGCTGTGTGGTAGTGTGTCTTTCTCTGCACCAAAGAAAGACACTACCACACAGTAACCAATCCATCAATTGTTAGTTTGCGCCAGTTTTAGACACTTGACGCTAATGGTGACTTGTTGACGGCCTGGTAGTTGCTTCTGAACTAACTTTAATAAACAGTATCTTACTATTTCTTTAAAAACCAAAGAGCTACTTTTCTGACGTGGGTTAAGTTAGCTTCCGATTCCGGAAATGGTTAAAGGGCAATTTTTCTCTACTCCGGCCATCTTTAATCTGCTCTGGCTCAAAAACTTCAACACTCACTCTTCAAACCTGTACTGGGTTATCCAGGACCAGCATATTGCGTCAAACTAGTCCGGTCCACACTGGAACTGGTCCTGTGCACAAAAAAGTGATCTTTTTCTCTCGACAAGCTTAGCTTTCAATATCTGTGAAGATTTTTCAGTTATTTTGTTTAAATTACTCAAAATAGCATGTAATAACAAAGAAAAACTACAAACAGATTTGATTTTTCTTCAGTAATGTATGATTAGAAAATGTAAATGTACTTGAACAACTATTCTGAAATAGCAGAAATCAAACTTAACATGTATTACAACCTTGTATGGATTTTTTTTATATGTACAGCTTTCAGTGTCTCAGTTTCAGGTGATATTGTCTGTTAATGTTTAGTAGTTTTTAGGAGCTGTGGTATTCTGCAAAGCAGTTGCTGTCCTGCTGCAGACAAAACTCCTTGTTGCAGTCTTTGCATATCCAGGGAGTGCTTTTTTTTGCACATATTGCACCTTTTCGTACTCTGACTTGCCTTCTGTGCTTTGTCCATTCCTTCTCCACTGTTTCAGGTGACAGGTATGTTATGAGCGGAGGTCACTGGAGAGTTTTCATCCACACCAAGCAGGTGTGCACACTGCATCTCCTGAAATTGTTAATCAAGCTCCAACATTTGTATTGGAAGTTTAGGATTCTTTATGGTTTTAGTGTAGTGTTTTCAGCAGCAGAGCCTAGTTTGTGCTCCACCTCATTTCTGAAATGAGGCCATTGGGTTCAAACAACGAACCAAGCCAAACATGTTATTTCATGTTTTTTATTTGATCTTATTTCATCTATAATTTGTTTAGTTTTTAAAACTCAATTTTTAAGTTATTAAATTAAAAACAATCATTTAAATATAATTAAATAACCTGTTAAAAGCACTAGAATGTGGGAAATGATCATCCGCTCACTAAAGGTTTTCTGTGGGAGACCCCCAGACCAACTCCTCCCATCAGCTGAGATCCTCTCTCTGCCTGTCTTCATCCTCAGAGCTGAGGACAATACTGGACATGTGGCTGACATGTCTCAGTCTTTGCCTCTTCTCTGAGGAACAGAAACTTGTTCGCAGAAGGTAAACAAAGGCTGTTGTATTGCTATTTATTTTTTGTATATATAATCAGTTTCCAGCCAGTGAATGGTGAAATCACAATGTGGAAAGCAACAGAGTTACAAAAATCTATGAAAAAACGATGCACAAGTGGCGCTCAAAAAGTTTTGACAAGGTTGGCAGGCCTGGAACTACAAAAGGTTCCTACAGTCGGAAAGGGCCTAAAGCTGACTTAACCTGGGAACTAGCTACGTAAAGCTTTCCTCTGCTTTGCCGTCTCATGTGCTTCGCTACCTGCTCTGCTCGGTGGTCTCCTCTGCACTGTTGTCGGCCCGAGTGAGAACGTGGGTCCACAAGTGCGCCACCAGTTGGCCTTTCCAACAGCTGCAGACCCACAGATTCACGTCTGCGTCAGCAAATCTGATCACAACTTTCTCATTCCTTGTCGCCCCTGATGCGCTTAAACATCCACCCCTTTAACTCCTGATCGTCCCATGACAGCTTCACACCTCGCTGCTTAGTCATAGTAATGCATGCAATGTTTAGACAGTCGCTTGTCTCAGAAACATATAATAAACTGAAAGAATTGTTAAGAAAAATTATCAGAAAGATTTTAAGTGTTTTTGTTACTTTTAAGACATGTTTGCAACTGTTTGCAGAGTAATGAGAACATGGAGCATTTTCCCAGCTGCAGCCAGGTGCCTCTTGTTTGTCTGCCTACTTTCAAAAACTACTGTTAAGGGCAAAAAAAAAATATTCTGTTTGGTGCTTTCAGCACTGCACAGGTGCCACTGGGCACCTGGCAGCAGCAGAGATCAGAGACGATCTCTTAAAAATGTCCGCGACACAGACTCAGCGAAGTGCTCGGTTAGGAACGTATGGAACAATCAGATCACTGATGTATGATGGAGCTTGATTATTAAGAGCTTTATATGTGAGAAGAAGGATCTTAAAATCTATTCTGAATTTAACAGGTAGCCAATGTAGGGAAGCTAAGACAGGAGAGATATGATATCTGTTTTTAATTCTCATCAGAACTCTAGCTGCAGCATTTTGGACAAGCTGAAGACTTAACTACATTCTATGGACTTCCTGAGAGTAATGAATTACAGTAATCCAGTCTTGATGTAATAAATGCATGAACTAGTTTTTCAGCATCACTCCTGGAAAGGATGCTTCTAATCTTAGCAATATTCCGAAGGTGGAAAAAGGAAATCCTACAAACCTGTTTAACTTGGGATTTGAATGGCATGTCCTGGTCAAAGAGAACACCAAGGTTCCTTACTTTGTTCTCGGAGATTAATGTAATGCCATTCAGGTCAGGTGATTGACTAAGCAATTTCCTTTTCTGGATTTCTGGTCCAAAGATGAGAACTTCCGTATTGTCTTGATTTAAAAGCAAAAAGTTTAGAGTCATCCAATTTTTTATGTCCTCAAGACAAGCCTGTAATCTACCCAACCGATTAGGTTCATCAGGGTTAATGGATAAATATAACTGAGTATCGTCAGCATAACAGTGGAAGTTTATCCCATGCTGTCTAATGATTTTACCAATTGGGAGCATATATATAGTAAAAAGAATTGGTCCAAGCACTGAACCCTGTGGGACTCCACAAGTAACCCTGGAGTATGAAGAAGATTTGTCATGTACATTTACAAAATGAAATCTGTCAGACAGGTAGGATTTAAACCAGCCTAGCGCTGTTCCTTTGATCCCTACAACATGTTCAAGTCTTTCTAAAAGAACATTGTGATCAACTGTGTCAAAGGCAGCACTGAGATCTAACAAGACTAGAACAGACACAAGATTCTTATCTGAGGCCATGAGAATATCATTTGTAACTCTCACTAATGCAGTTTCAGTGCTGTGATACTCTCTAAAACCAGACTGAAATTCCTCAAACAGAGCATTAGTGTTTAAATGCTCACATACTTGGATGGCCACTATTTTCTCCAGGACTTTGGATAAAAATAGAAGGATAGATATTGGTCTATAATTCATTGGGTCATCTGGATCCAGAGACGGCTTCTTAAGTGAAGGTTTGATTACAGCAACCTTAAAATCTTGTGGTACATATCCATTTACTAAGGATAGATTGATTATGTCTAGAATGGGGGCAGTAACCAAAGGAAATGCATCTTTAAATAATTTGGTTGGGATTGGATCCAAAATGCAAGTTGAAGGTTTAGATGAAGCTAATATTTTTGATAACTCTGAAAGCTCAACTGGATCAAAACGGTTCAAGCACAGATGAGGTTCTACAGTCACCTCTGAAGCTGCCTCACTTACTGAAGAAGAAGAAATCGCATTAGGGAGAATGTTAGAGATTTTGTTTCTAATAGAATTAATTTTACTTGTAAAAAATCCCACTAAGTCATTGCTGCTGAGGGCTACGGGAATAGATGGCTCAGAGCTATGATTCTGTGTAAGTTTGGCAACTGTACTGAAAAGAAATTCAGGATTATGCTTATTCTCCTCAATTAGTGCTGAGAAATAAGCAGTTCTAGTTTGTCGAAGCTTAGTTTTATAAAGCACAAGACTATTTTTCCAGGATAGGTAGGACTCCTCATGGTGCGTAGAGCGCCATGTTCTCTCCAATTTCCTAGAGTTTTGTTTTAAGGCTCGTAAATGAGAATTAAACCAGGGAGCCAACTTCCTGTCCCTAATTACCTTCTCTTTTAAGGGGCTACATCATCTAATGCCACACATAAAGAGGAATTAACATGATGAACTATGGCAGGAATTAACATGATGAACTATGGCATCAATTTGTGAGGGGCTAGAACTGAAAATATTGCCCTCTGCTACGTTCCTCTGAGATGCTGAGGACAGTAAAGATGAAACAGTTGATTTAAAAGATGCAACTGCGTTGTCAGATAGAGAGTTACTGATTACTTTGTCAAAAAAGTAACTCAGTTATTAACTTGAGTTACAAGATTATAAAAGTAACTAATTAATTACCAAGAAAAATAACTACTTAGTTACTTTTTTCATTAAAGAGTGCAAGAATTACTAGAATAGTGAAATATAAATGACTAATGACTGGAACATAATAAAATGTATGTCCAAATGTTTTTATAAACCTGAATAATTTAAATAAATAAGCACTTAACAGGAGGAACTACTAACAGGAACATTACACTAATCTAGACTATTAAAAGGTCACTGTGTGATATTTAAAGAGCAAGTCACCCCCTGCCAGAGTCTTTCTTCACTCCCACTTACTGTTTGAAAAATGCAAAAATGCTGTTGCCTGGCAGACTGAAAGGGCGGAGCCGCTAACAAATACACACACACACACACACACACGTGCGCACGCACACACACACACACACACACAAAACATTGTGACCTCATAATGTACCAGCTGACATCATAGTGTTCTTCTTAGCCTATAGCAATGGCAGATTAAATTTAAATGCAATGCAGAGTTTTTACCTGACAACTGTGCAACAATGACAGTTTTAGGCTGAATATTAAAATTTTAACTAAGATGCACTAAAGTGCCAAATTATTGACTGCATGTGTCTACAGCATGGTTAGAAACTCACTGATGTAGTTTTATCAGCAAAAAAGAAGTGGATTTGGGGGTGGCTTGCTCTTTAACAAGACTAAAGCTAAAATTTAAAATTGCAAATAGAAACACCTGTAAAGGTTCCCGAGCCTTTAAATGGTCTCTCAGTCTAGTTAAATTACAGAAATAAATGTAATTTTGCACAGCATTTAAATTTTTCCAGCTTCACATAATTATGTGTTTTTAGTAGCATTTCTGTTGCTGCTAATCTAGTAACGGTTAAATAAATAAATGAAATCCTTTAAAATGACACTAGAAGAGGCACAAATCTGATGGAGGACTTAAATGTACTAACTTGGGTCAGACCCAAACACAGAAGAGCTGAAGCTGGGTGGTAAACACACACAGGTAACACCTGAGCTCCATGACATCTGAGACTGATGCATCAGTGTTACAGCGGGACTAAAGACATGATCAGGAACAGGTTACAGCTGGATGATCTAGGAAGGTAGAAGATCAGGACGTCTGAGCGGTGAACAGGTGAGCGGACCTTCGGGACGTCCCGCTGCCACGCTAAGAAGGGCATGGCTGCAGACCCGCAGATTCGCTGCAGCAGCAACGAATCTGCGGGTCTGCAGCCGTGGATATTCATCACGTCTTCCTCGTTCTTCATGGGCCGTGATGCGCTTGGATGAAAACATCTGCCTCTTTAGCTCCTGATCAGCTGATGACAGCTTCAACACACCGCGCTGCTTAACGCACGCATTTCCTTATCAGTAACAGAAACAACGTTTTGATAAAAGAAGATGGTAATTAATTAGTTTGCTCGTTACAGAAAGAAATATTTTTTTTTTATTAACGTGGTTATTTTAAACGGCGTTATTCCCATCACTGCTCTGTTGGGTCTACAGCATGCAGCGACTGAGACAGTGAGAACACTGAGGGTCTCCGCCCACCCGGCCAATCATCATCGTGTTTGTAAGTGCGTTACCGACATCTCTCTCTCCCTGGCTGCAGCTGAAGTGTGGCGGTCAGAAAGCCTCACACTGTTGCTCAACGTTCGACGAGCACATAGTAACGCACAACCTTCCGTCCCCAGTAACGGTAACGGCGTTGCAACAGTGGGAAATGTAATTAATTAGATTATTCCGTTACCTAAAAAAGAACGCCGTTAGTAACGCCGTTATCTTCGTCTTCGTCTTCGTCTTCCTCCGCTTATCCGGGTCCGGGTCGCGGGGGCAGCATCCCAGTTAGGGAGCTCCAGGCCGTCCCCTCCCCGGCCACCTCCACCAGCTCCTCCGGCAGGACCCCAAGACGTTCCCGGACCAGATTGGAGATGTAACCTCTCCAACGTGTCCTGGGTCGACCCGGGGGCCTTCTGCCGGCAGGACATGCCCGAAACACCTCCCCGGGGAGGCGTCCAGGAGGCATCCTGACCAGATGCCCAAACCACCTCAACTGGCTCCTTTCGATCCGGAGGAGCAGCGGTTCTACTCCGAGTCCCTCCCGAATGTCCGAGCTCCTCACCCTATCTCTAAGGCTGAGCCCGGCCACCCTACGGAGGAAACTCATTTCGGCCGCTTGTATCCGCGATCTCGTTCTTTCGGTCATTACCCAAAGCTCATGACCATAGGTGAGGATTGGGACGTAGATCGACCGGTAAATTGAGAGCCTGGCTTTCTGGCTCAGCTCCCTCTTCCCCACGACAGATCGGCTCAGCATCCGCATCACTGCAGACGCCGAACCAATCCGCCTGTTGATCTCCCGATCCCTCCTACCCTCACTCGTGAACAAGACCCCGAGATACTTAAACTCCTCCACTTGAGGTAGGACCTCTCCCCCGACCCGGAGGTGGCAAGCCACCCTTTTCCGGTCGAGAACTTTATACTTAAACTTACTATTTTGATGCACAACCTTTGAGGCAATCACTGCAATCAAATGATTCCTGTAACTGTCAGAGACTTCTGCTCCTTTGAGCAGGTATTTTGGCCCACTCCTGATGAGGAAACTGCTTCAGTTGTCTCAGGTTTGAAGGATACCTTTTCCAAAATGCACGTTTCAGCTCCTTCTAAAGATGCTCAATAGATGTTTTTACAAAACAATGCCATCAATTTGCCACGCCATGGTGGCAACTGACATTCATACGTTGACAAAAACTGGTCAGTTTATTTGGACTAAATATTTTTACAAAATAAAATGTTAGGTTATTGAATGTTCATTATTTTAGAAATGGAAGTGATGGGGGGAAAATAGATCATGATTCACGACAGCCTTTTTCTTTTTTAACCCTGTTTGTCAAAATGACTGACAACAAAAATGTCTAGCATGACCTTGTCTTGTATGGTTTGATGAGACACGCAGTTTGACTAGTGATTTTCACACAAAACCTAAAATAGTTTGAAAATAAGTGCTTTCTTGGTATCAAAATGTGCCTTTGAAATTCATGGACTTCATATGCTAAATCCATGGCAAATGTCAAACAGGATAAGAAATAAGTTATCGGCTCATTGACTCCCATTCATTTTTTGTTGGCATTAGGGGACCCATGGTCCCGAAGTAGGCTTAGGCTCCCCATTTGTCGGCCGGATCAAGAAAGGTTTGTGATTGGTCAGTCGATGAACGTGACTGTGCTGCATGCACATGTGCAGATCATTCTCTTTCCTAACATTTGAAAGGAAGATTTGGAGAGCTGGCAGAAATGTCACTACATTGTTGCTAGGTGCTTTTGGGGGGGAAAAGAAAATCATTAAAATCGCTAAACTATCTTATCTATAGCAACTATAATGTCCTGGCTTGTGTTGAGGACTTTCATGAATTTTGACTGACAACTAAAATTCTTCCAGCTATCTGAATGAATAGTGTCATTATGTGCTACACTACTGGTTTGACCCCATCCCTCCAGTTTAACCTTGTCTCTGTTCTTCCATCTCACAGCTAAATATCCAGAAATCAAGTCTCTGATGGGTCCAGACCAGAGGCTGAAGTGGATTGTCTGCATGATGGTGGTGGTGCAGTTCCTGGCCTTCTACCTGGTCAAAGACTTGGATTGGAAATGGGTTTTGTTCTGGGCGTATGCGTTTGGCAGCTGTGTCAACCACTCCATGACCCTTGCTATTCATGAGATCTCACACAACACTGCCTTTGGGAACAACAAGGCCACGTGGAATCGCTACTTTGCCATGTTTGCCAACCTGCCTGTGGGCTTACCTTACTCAGCCTTCTTCAAACGTTATCACCTTGACCATCACCGGTACTTAGGTGGAGACGGTGTTGACGTTGACATCCCTACAGAGTTTGAAGGCTGGTTCTTCTGCACACGTGTTCGCAAGTTCATCTGGATTGTTCTGCAGCCATTGTTCTATGCTGTACGCCCCCTCTGCATAAACCCCAAACCAATTAGTCAGCTGGAGGTGACCAATATGGCCCTGCAGGTTATCTTTGACATTGTGCTACTATGGATCTGGGGGGCCAAACCTGTAGTTTACATGTTGGCTGGCTCTATGCTGGGAATGGGCTTGCATCCCATCTCTGGCCATTTTATCGCTGAACACTATATGTTCCTGAAGGGCCATGAAACCTACTCCTACTACGGCTGTCTCAACCTGCTTACCTTCAATGTGGGCTACCACAACGAACACCATGACTTCCCCAGCATCCCAGGACGAAGGCTACCCATGGTGAGAACACTGGATCACCGTTTCAGTGGCCACTCATATTCATGGTTCTCAATTGACTGTTGATAAATCCCATAAGTGCGTACCCAGGTGCTTCTGTCCATTCAGTCATTTGCATTCACAAATGCCCTAAATTAATCCTATTTGGTCGCACCACATCTTAAGCTTATGAAGGAAATCCCTGTATTTTTATATTCCTGAAGAGAAAGGAAAAAAAAAACTTTGGCAGCCAGTGTCTCTGTCTTGTAGAAAATAACCAAACATATTGCAGTTGATTTAAACACTTTCAGGAAAGAAAAGAGGTCCCTGTCAGAAATAAAAACGATTCAACATAAAACTAAATAAGACAAAAAGAGTAACAGACTGAATGTTCCATTCTTTTTATTAAAAGGGCAGCTTTATTCATATAGCACATTTCATACTCAAAAGGCAATTTAAGGAATTGTATGCATTTTGTGTTTGGAATTTTTTTTTTCTCATTTGGAAATGTTTTGGCGAAGAGCTGTCAGTTTTGTTACCTTGACGAAAGGGTGGGACAAAATACAAATTCGGCAAAACATCGCAATATTTCAACTCAAAAATGGGTCCCGTACGAGAGGGTAGCCTTCTCCCACCTACGTGCGGGGGGACCGGAATTTGTTTTCACACACAGGTCAGATTTGCGTTTTCGGTGCTGAGGCGACTCTTTTTCTCAGACCTTCTCCCCAGCGATAAGACTGGGACCAAGGTGACACTACGGACTGATTGGCCAGCTGAAATTACGCCTACTGCCTCAGATCTGCGAGAATAATGAGCCAGCGGGGGTTTTCCCGCATGTGCGATTCATTTCATGCTGTTGATTAAACTTCTGTCTGTAGCACGGAGCTGTCGTTCCAGAGCTGCCAATGGGAACGGTGTGTGTGTGCATCTGTTCTCTGCATTAGAGCTCATGCCCTGGCGAGCAGACAGCCTGGAGCAGGGGAGCCAAATTCAAATTCACACTGGGTTGAAAAAAAAAAACTGGTACACAGTCGTGGGCCAAACTCAATATTTTTTGAAAAAGTGACAGCAAATGTGCATATTTTCACTTATCTACAGATATGTCAGTGTGCCCCAGGGCAGCTGTAGCTACATCGTCGCTCTTCCCCACCAGCGTGTGAATATGTGAATGACTGATTGTGTTGTGAAGTGCCTTGGGGGTTGTAGAACCCCAATAAGGCGCTATACAAATACAGGGGTACCTCAGGAGTCTGTTCTGGGTCCTTTGCTGTTTGCCCTCTATCTACTGCCCCTTGGTTTGTTTCTTCAGAAACACAAGGTCAATTTTCATCTGTATACTGATGATTGCCAAATCTTTTTTCCCTTGAGACAGGGTTTTGCAGGCTAAATTAAGCCCCCTCTTGGACTGTCTGGAGGAGGTTAGAGCATGGATGGCTTCCAGCTTCTTACGTTTTAATGAGGGCAAAACAGAGATCATTGTTTTAGTCCGAATGCTAGTTATGCCGCAAAGCAGGCAGTCAGCCTGTCTTCGCTTGCTCCCCTTAAGAAGGAGCTAGTCACTGATCTGGGTGTGAAGTTGGATGCGTCACTAAGGCTGGAGACTCATTAATGGAGTGGTGCGCTGTTGCTTTTTCCATCTTTGCTGCCTAGCCAGAATCAAGCCACGGGTGTCTCGGGCTCACTTGGAGACTGTAGTCCATGCTTTTATTACTTCTCGTTTAGACTACTGTAACTCCCTCTACTCAGGAGTTAGCAAGCCTGCACTTGCTCGGCTCCAGCTGACACAAAATGCTGCTGCTAGATTTCTGTCTGGCAACAGAAAGCGGGAACATATCACGCCTGTGGCTCATCTGCATTGGCCTCCTTCAGAGTCTGGTTGACGTTACTTGTTTTTGTTTTCAAGTAGCTGCAGGGTTGTGCTCCTAGCTATCTCTTTTATTTACTCACGTGATATACACCCCATCACATGCTCTAAGGTCAACACAGCAAGACTTACTAGTTGTTCCACATGTGTTCAACAAGAGGAGGCAGGACTTTCTCAGTTCTGGCCCCAAAGCTGTGGAATGACCTTCCAATCAGGTCAGACAAGCACCCTCACTGACTTTTATACTGTTGCGTTCTTTCAGCATGTGAGAGTTAGCCATGCTTTTAGATTATTAGTTTCATTTTATCCTGTTTTAATGTGTTATTTTATCAATATTTTGTGGGCCCTTGCTTTTATGCATGTCCAGCACTTTAGTTCACCTTCTTGTTGATGACGATGTTCCCTATAGGGATGAGCGAGTACACCACTATCTGTATCTGTTCAACCATCTAAATGATCTGTATCTGTACTCAGAGTGGGCGTGGCATAACCCAGAAGTGGGTGTGGTTTACATCAATACATTATTTTAAATCTGAAATTGATATGGTTTGATCAGAAGTTGATATGTGTGTTATTTATTTGAAAACTATTTACAGAGCAGCCGCAGAATTGAGATAAAATATTTTTGATCACAATAGTAAAGGAACTATTACAGAATAAAATTTTCAATAAAATCAGAACATTATTTAAGTGCATGAATTAATACATCTGAACTCATGCAGTAGGAACTAGGATATGAAATGCTAGAACAGACACAACTTAACATATTTTTTTTTATTTTAATTTGATTAAAACTGATTTTTTCTTAATGTTCTTGGCATTTTTCCCGCACACAGTTAAACAAAAAAATGTTGATTAAGAGGTGTGTGTGTGCGAGCGAGTGAGAGAGAGAGAGAAAAAACCCGACCGGAGCGGAGGCAGTGACTGACGCAGCACGTCAGCTCTGTCTTGTCAAATGCACCACGTAAGTTACGAAAAAAGTAACTTTAAATACTCAACTGAAAAAGAGGCGAGCTGAGGAAAACCTAGGGAGTACTGAAGAAACGTGAGCAACAGTTTTGTGTGTAGGGAGGGGCGGGTGCTCCATTTGACTGGCCAATCACAGAGCGTGAAGACAGTCAGTTACCCAATGAGGATTTTCCTTCAGCACGATTACAGATATTTACGAGTTTTACTCGTTTCATGCTCGTACTCGTCAAAAATGCTTTATCCGTACCGGATACTCGTCTGAAACAAGTATCCGGCTCATCCCTAGTTCCTTCCAAATCACAAAAACACAAGATCAGCCATGCTACAATGTCAGCTTCAGTTACAGGTGTCTTTTATAGGTTCTAGCTCCAGTTATATGATAAAGCTGTTTCTCTAATAGGTAAAAAAAATGTTGTGGATGAGGAACATGGATGGATTACTTAAGACATTTAGTATTGCAATTTTTTATTTGAAAACATTTCTATGCAGTACAAGATGCTAAATACCGAACAATGCGTAAAATTGTTCCTACACCAAATATGCACAGATCTGTGTGAGTAGTTTAGGCCTCATATTTAGTTTTCCTATCTGTCTGAAACAAGCCACTGTATTTACAGTCAATTTCTCTTTTTTTTTAGGTGAAGCAAATAGCAGCAGAATATTACGACGACCTGCCTCAGTACAGCTCCTGGTCCAGGGTCCTGTATGACTTCATCATGGATGACACGTTGAGCCCATACTCCCGCATCAAGAGAAAGTTAAAGGGAGAAGTTAAAGAAGAGTAATTTTGTTCAGCCTCCTGGTACCAACACTGCTGGACTCGACCACAGTCCTGCTTACCCCTCTAACAGTTGAAAGTTTCTGCAAATGTTCAGCTACTAAAATTATTCAGATGGTGGAATGATAGAGAGATCAGCAGTCTAGACCAGGGAACTCTGGATCTCTATGTACATACAGTAGCATGTTTTTGTTATTTCTCTGCTCCAACAATTCTGATTGTATAACCTGAATTCTGCTAATCACCTACTGATTAAAATCAGGTGTGTTGGAACAGGGAAACAACAAAAACATGCAGGACTTCCATTACTGCAGGCCTTCAAAGGACCAGGATTCCCCACCCTGGTCTAGACAAAGTCAGGGAGGACGTCAGAGAAATCCGTAGCATTCACGAGTTACTGTTCTTTCAGCTTAAATAGTGATAAACTTGTGAAATGTCAGATTATTTTTGTCAGCTGTAACCCAAATTCCACAACCAAATTATAATTTTGTTTGAGAGGAAACATGTCTTTATTTAACAAATGATGGCTTTTAACAAATGTGCTTGGAAATTACTGCCTATGTTAGCACATGTTGGTGTTTGGCTTGTTCACTGCTTTTATTCACCATTGTAAACTCAGAAGGAAGTAAAGGTAACAGGACCACAGGCATTTCCACAGTTGGATCATTAAATCACTTATCAGACACAACCAAGAACTCCCACTCTTAAAATAAAGTTTAACACACCAAACATTTGCTACTCAAATGGTATAAAAATCACAAGTCCAGCATCTGTCTGAAAGGAGAGATGGCGTGTGTGAGCAGGTAGCTTCAGGTCTGTCACACACAGCTAAATAACTTCTGGTCCTGGAGCCGACTCGGATCTGCACATCGCTGATGGAGAAGAGCTGGATCCTGGTAGCTCAGCAACAGCTTTAATGAGCACGTTTTATGATTTATTTTCACACTGAACTGCAAAAACCAAAGTGGTTCCACGTGTAGATTTTAGTTTGGTCATCTGCTGAGGGACTCTCTGAGCTGCTCGTACATCAGCTGATCCTGAATAGGAAACAAGTAGTCAGTGTACAGGTGATTGACAAAGTCAGCATATATTTAACCATCTAAACCCATTTTTGAACCTGGAACATGAGCAGGTGTTGTACGTGACGCATTCGCTTTAACCAATACACATTTTCCAAGTGCTTTTAGCTGATCTGGTGATGATGAGCTACAGTGTAGCTACAGCTGCCTGGGGCGCACAGACAAGTGAGACTGAAACACTGGTCCTTCTGACCACCACCAGCAGGCAAGGTGGGCCCCTCTGCTCAAAAAAGATACCAAAAGAATTGTTCAGAAAATTATTTCAGTTCATTATATAATTACCCCAGATGTCTAAAATAACTGACAACTGATCCTGGGTCAGTCAGGGGTGCTACAAAAACCACAGCTTTGACGATCACATGATAGCATTTTTTGAAATTCAGTAGATCTGTCAGTCACTAGATTGTGCCGTTGGATAAAAAATACTCCAGATTGAAGCTTCAATACCATTTCACTCAGGTAGATCCAAACCGATGTTCAGCCTCACTGGGACCATCATAAAGGCTAATCGTCCCAGTAAAACCACTATTCTAGAAAAGCCCTGAGGTTTCCCTGGAGGTGGCCTGACTGCTCTGCTTTGGTAAACGAGGAGAGTTTAGAGCCAGCCCAGCTCACCTGGGAGGTCCCAGTCAACAAGCAGGATGTTGTAAACAGACAAGCATCATGTCTTCTTTCTCCTGAGTTTGCATGCATTTTAAATCTGGTTTGCCTGTAGTTAGCGGAGCTAACATCCTAGCTAGTCGTCTTGTAAAGCAAAGTCGGGTTTAGCTTCACATTCAGCCCCATGGACTACATAGATAGATGGCAGCTGTTATCCAGAATATTTTTAAAAAGGTTCTAACAAAATTCTTGTAAATCTCAAAAAGTGTTGCATAACAGAAGAGTGTTTAGGTTTTTTGTCCCACAGTGATGACATATTCTTACCTTTTTGGACACAGATGGACGGATCTTCTTAAAGGCCTCCTCAAAGTTCTGTTTACCAACTCTGACATCAGCTGTTGACCCAGTGGGATGCGTGGCACCTGATGAAAGAAATCATTAGAACCTGTGGTTTGCTTCAGTTTGTTTCTAGTAGCTTCCCTCTGGTTCACTGTTACAGTCTGAGCAGGTTTGGCTGTCGCTGGGCTCCATTTACACCATAAAGGTTGTAAATAATGTGCAAATTCAGAAGAAAGCAAGCTTGTTTTTGATCATGTAGCCATTTTCTGTGATTCTTGATTTGCCAATCCTACAATCCAATCGGAGAACAGAGGTAACATATTAGCCTATCACAGATAGAGGGGTCGGGTCTGGTTTTCTGGTCGGTCAACATCACAGCACTGTGATTCAACATGAAAATAGAAAAATATTCTCTCAAATTCAAAAGGACATGTGATGGTGCCGACGGAAGGCAGAGCAAGCCTGAAGACGCACCAAACTGCCCCAGGTTTATTGGAAACGTAAGCGCTGATGTCAACAGCAATCATTAGTTAGCAATCGTGATAAGAATGTTTGCAATAGCCAAGGAAAGCAAGAATCAGCGCTGAGCAGCACGGCTCTTCTAATGGACGTGAGTGACGTCAACTGCTAAACAAACAGATTCATTGTAATAGAATTACAGCTACGAGGAACAACAGACCACTACAGTCTAGTGATCTCGGCACAGAAATGCCTCAAAGACCTCTCCTGCAACGCTTTCCTTCACGCCTTTTCTCACGAAAAATAAAAAAACAAAAAAACAAGATAATTTTGCAACTCCTGGTCACCTGTATGAAGGGTTTTCCCTGGCTGGAGTATTCAGTTCAAGCAGATGCTGCATTCTGCTACCCATGCAGAATGACCCAATCCCACTGATGCAACTCTCAGTGTTACTGGTTTTCATGACTGGAAACATGAAATAGACTGTGGAAAGGGACTGAACAAACATGCTGCATCCAAAGAACACTTGACTTGTGAAGCCACATGGAGGGAAAAGGAAAAACTGGTTCACATAAGAAAGGAAATATCAATATTAATTAACACTGAACAACTACGGCGCAACAAATATGATGTGTTATGCTGTTATTGATGTTGTGGAGTTCCTAGCTATGCACACTGAAAGCATCAGCAGCATGGAACGGTTTACTGCACTTGAGTGCAAACCAAGAGTCTCAGCAAGCAACTTCTCTGCCATGCTTCTTGCTCAACTCGCGAGATCACAAAATCCCTAGACTTTAAAGGTCATTAAACCAAAAAGAAGGAAATTGCGTTGTCACTGTTTGATGTCATATAGGATGTTGTTTGTCTCCAGTGCCAGGATTAAAGCCATGAAAAACACACTGCTGCACTGGAACAATGCTGAGTAAATAAGCCTTTAGGTCACACATAAGCTTCATATATATGAAATAGCATTGCTGCAATACTTTTATTTTGAAAATTACTTGGGTTTTTACACTGAAACCTGTGTTAACTGCAGTAATTGACGCATCCCAGAAGCGGCTCGTGGGAAAAATAGAACCCGATCCCATCTTTAGCAGCAAGGTATGCCGCTTCTGGGATGCGTCTGAGAATTGCCATATCGTGGCGAGTTTGTCACACTCCATAATGGTTTCTTTTTGAAGCAGTGCCGTTTCACTGCTGTTCCACGCAGTTGATGCTTCCAGTGTCCAGTAGGGGTTAGAGGTGATCATGATGCATTTAGTAAAATGAACAGTGATGGATGTGGCCTTTTTTGTCTCTATTTGAGTTTTCTTTAAGGAAAGATGTAAAGATAACAAGAACTATTCTCATATGGCTATATACTCAAGTCATTATATTCAAAATTACTTAATAGATGTTATGAGTGCTTTAGTAAGCGAACATATAGTGGAATAATTCTTTAAAGGCAGATGGAATAGTATATTAGTATGAGGATTGCTGTAAAGACTCTGACACAAGTCAGTGACTTGATGCAATTTGCTGGGCTCCTTATATAGGAAACTTTTTTCTGATTGGCTTAATGAACTGACCTGTATTGGAATGTTTACTAAGGGAAGTGCCTTGAGACGACTCTCGTCATGATTTGGCGCTATATAAATAAACTTGAATTGAATTGAATAGAACCAGATATTCAACTGGGAGAGAAAATATCTCCACATTTCTCCAGTTTCTTAATAAACAATGTGAACCAACTGAGCACCTCCTCACCACTGCCACTGTTGACCAGGGAGATGCAGCTACTTTGACACCATCATAAGAGAACTGACTACCGTTGGCCTGAGAAAACCATCACTGAGGTGCATGATGGTGCCTCCCTCATGTCAGGTAAACACAGGGGTGTACAGAAGCTGCTTCTGAAAAAACTGGACAGAGAGGAACCTGATATATATACAGTTGCATTTGGTGGTAACCCATGCCCTGTCAGGGGAAAAGGCTGGAATGGCCTTACAAGAGCAAATTGCAGTTTTTTAATTTAATATAAAATGCTGACCAAAAATATTATTTCAAATGCTTTTTGTGGGTATTTTGTTTTACATTGTATGACAGACCCTTATTTTGAGTCAAACGTGGCCTTTTTCAGCAAAGCTTATAAATACGCTTTTTAAAACAAATCTTAACCTCTGACGTAACGATGGGGAGTTATAAGCTAGTTTTTGGGTATAGAGGTCATGTTATGGAGTCAGTGTGTGCGTTCACTAGTTTTGGATTGCATTCTTTTTTATTAAAAAATGGTTAACTATTGTATTTGTGGAGGATTTACAAACTCCAGCAGGTCCGGACATCGATTCCAAGGGTTTCCAAATAAGAAAACGAACAGCGTTAACTTCTGTTCCTGGTGCGTTTTGGGCAGCTGAAAACACGGTCATTTGTGGTGCTTACTTCACACCAGATGACTACAATCCCAGTGATGTGATGGGAGTTTAATGTTAAAAATACCCTGCACTAGGGTTGTCACGGTATGAAAATTTAACCTCACGGTTATTGTGACCAAAATTATCACGGTTTTCGGTATTATCGCGGTATTTTTTAAACGGTGTTGCATATGTTCAGAAAGCATTGATAGTCCTGTTCTACACAAACTGAAATAGTTCTGAAAAGGTTTAACAGTGTTTATTAAACCTAAAATAACACAAAGCCTTAGCAAAAGTGCAACTTTTCACAAGTAAAGGAACAAATAGCTTATTTTTCTGGAACTTGTTACAGTAGTCAGTGCAGGTTTAAATTATACAAATCCAAACATTCAAAACATAAACAAAATGTAAACAAATCAAAGAAACACCACTTGTTTTCTCATATACTTGTTTTCTTCATTATCAAAATGAAAATCTAAAACTCCAGTCCACACTTGACTTGAGCACTGTACAAATCAACCTTAAAAAATATGTATTTAAAATAAATAGCCACTTTAAACAAATTACTAAAATAACTACTACACTATGTAATCAAATCCAAATGTTCAAGTATAAATGGCATTGAATAAGTAAACAAATCAATGACAAGGAACTAATTGTATATTTCTCTTCATCATCAACAAATAAGATGCTTCATCCAGCAACAGGGTGTCCGTGACACGGTTTAAATGCTGGCAGAGGACGCTGCGGCTGCAGTATATAGTGACACGTTGCATTCTCCCTCAACCAAAAGTCCTCACGTCATGCATTTCAGCTAAAATGCTAATGTTATCTTACCTTGCACTGGCTGTGGAGACGTGGGTGATCGTCACGCAGATGTGCCATGAGATTTGAAGTGTTGCTGCCTTCTGCAGACACTTGTTTCCTGCACGTTCTGCAAACGGGATAGCCGTCTTCTATTAACTGTCCCTCAGCGTTTTTCAGAAATCCCAAATATGCCCATACTTCCGATTTAGTCTTCTTTGAGGGCTGATGGATGTCCTGGGCGCTGCCGTCTCCTCCTTCGGCCATTATTTCAGCTTCAAAGTTTTGGTGCCGTTGCAAATTAAAAAGTGCGTGTGCGCGCAGCGGGAACTTCAGCTGAAGCGACGGTGGCTGGTAAGGGTCATCGCGCCGAAACCGCGGCCACGGTAAACCCACCGAGATAATATAGTTTTTTAAAAACTGGACGGTTATTTTTATTGTCAACTTTTTTACCGGGGTTTACCGCTATACCGGTTACCGTGACAACCCTACCCTGCACCCCCTGGAGCCCAGATCAGCATTGGAACCAGGTCAGGGTGGTCTGCGATGAGCTCCAGAAGAGGTTGGGCAGCTTGCAATGCTTGTTTCTTTTAAAACACAGAAAAGGGGGTTGTACTTTAACTTGTTTTGCTAACGTTTCGGCTAATTACTATAACCAGAGGATGGCTACAGTAGTTAGCTGAAATGTTAGCAAATCAAGGTAAAGTACAACCTTTTTTTCTGTGTTTTAAAAGAAACAAGCAATGCAAGATAACAAAATACAAGGAATGAATGCACAGAATATGTTTGAAGAGAAATATGGACAGCTATGAACAAGACACGAGACTTCTGACGTTTGGAACTCTTACTTCGTGAACGCTCACGTCTAAGGAACCACCTCTGCTTCTATTTAAAACGCTGGGAGGAAGACATCATTCCAACAAGCCTACAGTTGAAAACACCAATCCGAACAAAGACAGCACAACACATCATGGAAAAAACACAGAACGCGCTGCTCAAGGAAACGACAAGGGACATCATAACCAAACACAGTGTAAGTAGAAAACTAACTGGAAAGAAGACATCTGGACCTTAAAATAACTTACAAATTAGATGAGAAAGCAGAGGAACAAATTGAAAGAACCATGATGGAACAAGAAACATCATTTGTAAAAGAAAAACAAAGAAATATAAAGAAGTTAACCAAACTCATCAACAAGAAAAAGAAAAAAGTAAAACAAGACAATGCAACACAATGCTCATGGCTATGTAAGCTTTCACAACACAAACTAACTGAAAAAGAAAGCGCAATAAAAAAAAGTTTAAACTTTGCAATAACTCTGTAAAACAAACATACCATATGATCAATTTATTGTAGCAACAGAAATGGCATGTGAACAAATTACAGATGAAGGAAAAAAGCAGAACTTAGAAATAATGTAGTTGGGATACTAAATAGCATCAAGGGACAACACTATCCAAAAATGAAGACATCATTATTCTACCGGCAGATAAAGGAAGTGGTACAGTAATAATGGACAAAGAAAAACATAAACAGCAAATGAAAAACTAAACACCAAAAAACGACAGATCTAGAGGTCAAGAAAAACATGAAAAAAAAAACCCATCACTGAAACCACTAAAAGAAAAAGGCAGAATAACATAAAAATGTACCAACACTAACAAACATAAGATGATAATAATAAAATCACCATAAGAATTTATGGAACCCCAAAAATACACAAACATAACATCCTGCTTAGACCAACAGTAGACAGTATAGAGCTCCGGGAGTTGACGTCACTTCTCCCGGCGTGCAACAGTTCAAATCGAAACGGCGCCATCTTGGCAGGCAGAAGCCCCCAGCTGGGCTATTTGTTGTCAGAAAACTCAAACGGGAAATATGGTAGATTCCTGTTGTACCCCAGGATGCCAGAACAGATGCGGACGACATAAGGGACGAGCCTTCTACAGGATTCCCCAAGATCCAGAACGCCACAAACGTTGGATCATTGTAGCGCGCTAGTGACCAGGCTAAAATGAAGCTCTGGGATCCCGAGAGTAAAGATTTTCGCTTACACAGCGACCACTTCATATCAGGTACTTAAACCAATGTTTCCTCAACTGTATATGGTATTTATTTGAAATGTGTTTATTACGATTCTTATTGGGCTTCCTAAACTTATTTTGGCGTGGCTTTTTCTCTTATTACTCACAGCAACAAGTAAACGTCACATAAAACGTTGCCTCGTGATTTCTGCGTGCTGCCGTTTACTCTTATCGAGCAAGCTTTTCACATTTTCTAATAACACACATAGGGCAGTGATTGTGGAGTGTTGGACCTGAAAGCCAAACTGTAATCAGTGAAGTGAGGGTTGAGTGTTTTCAAGATAAGCAGTGAGGGGTTTAACCCAGTTACCCACTAGATGGGCATATCTATTTCGGTTTGAGTGGACGCTGGCACTTTTGATTGCCACTGCTCTCCGATCTCTGCTGTCCGTTATTTTATTTTTTTTTACGTAGACGGTTCTCATGTTTTTATTTATTTTAATCTGCCTTTCATTTTTTATCTTTCTATCTGAATCTTGGTATTTATCTTTACAAAATTCATGAGTACTAGCAGCCTTCTGGTCACTGTACCACCTGGACAACACCCTACGTACCTCATCCGCACCTTACATCTACCTTCGGCTAAAGGTGCCTAGTAGACAGTTTGGCTGGTTCATTCTCACCTGGGCTATCCTTTCTATTTTTCATTGTCCTTCAGCGCTGAACCAGTATCTGTCAACTGAGCTCCTTCGGTTTTGCGCTCACCTGGTGGTCCCCCCCACCCGCGCCTCTCCGCTTGTTCCCGGACATCTCGCTCAAACCCCGCAGCAAATACATCCATTGTGGGTACCAGTGCAACTTTATCGATGATGACACCCATTCAATGAGGTCCATCTGGTCCACATCCTGCCCCCCCGACTCGACACGAGTTCTAGTAACTCTGAGGCTGTCCAAGACTTGCTAACTCCTCTCACTAACCCAGCCAACCCTATAGCCAAACACGCCAACTCCATAGTCACCTTTGGTCTGCTAAACATCTGCTTGCTCACGGGCAAAGGTCATCTCATCAACGATCTTATCCGTGAACATAACCTGGACATTGTATTAGAGACGTGGTAGTCTTTTGTTTGTGCCAAAGAGGTCATACAAATCATAAGCAATCATGATCTCCTTGCCTTGATTATACAGCACTTTAGTCAGCTTCCATGCTGTGTTTTAAATCTGCTTTATAAATAAAATATGGATGGATGAATGAATTGAAAATGATTTCAAACTCTAAGACACCTTTAACATTAGCTAAAACAAACAAGCCCAACCTGGAAGAATTCTATAAATATACATAATAGAAAATTGGTTACCATTATGACTGGTCTTCAGGAATACCCTCAGGGTGTTTACGGACGCCTCCCTCACTAAAGCCGTCAGATCAGCTCCACTGGATCACAACACACACACACACACACACACACACACACACACACACACACACACACACACACACACACACACACACACACACACACACACACACACACACACACACACACACACACACACACACACACACACACACACACACACACACACACACACACACACACACACACACACACACACACACACACACACACACACACACACACACAGATTTTACTTTGATTATTCTTCACAGCAAGACACCTTTTATGTGTGAACATAATTGTATGTGTGTGTCCGCATGTGTGTGTGCACTTTTAGGTCAGGAGTAAGTAATCCTGGTCCCTCGAGGGCTCCTATCCAGCACGGCTTATAGCATTTAAACTCTAGAGTCCACTCCACTCCACCTTGACCGGGTTGGGAGTATTCTCATTTAGGTAGCCTTGGATTTTCCCATGTGCAACCGGACGTCTTTTCAGCCCTCTTTACAAGGCGGTTTGCCTGGAGTTGAACTGGTCCAACACACCCGCTGCTGACTGATTGGCTGGCTCAAAATCACGCGCACCACTAGGGGAGGGCCTCCGATTGGCAGATGGAATCAGCCCACGGGGGCTTCCCACATGCGCGATACATTATCATTTTGGATGCTGTGGAGTTAACGAGGACATGAGAACACAACATCACATGAGAATAAAACTCGTAAAACGTGTTTTAGCTCTGTTTGTTGGCTACAGAAGGACATAAACAAACAAGAAACCTGAAGTTGCCATCTTACAAAACAGAAGGAGCAATTATTTGTGTGAAATGCTTATCAGTCACTAGATGGTGCCAACGGATAAGAGAATTACTCCAGAAAGAGACTTGAAGAAAAAATAAATAACTGAAAATATCTCTTCCCTTAGAGATGAGATGAGAAGCTCATTCATCCGGAAGGGACTCGGAGTAGACCCGCTGCTCCTCCACATTGAACGGAGCCAGTTGAGGTGGCTCGGGCATTTAGTTAGGATGCCTCCTTGACACCTCCCTAGTGAGATTTTCCGTGCACGTCCAACCGAGAAGAGACCAAAAGAAAGACCCAGGACACGCTGGAGAGAGTAAGTCTCACGGCTGGCCGGGGCACGCCTTAGGATATCCCTGGAGGAGCTGGCCCAAATAGCTGGGGAGAGGGAAGTCTGGGCCTCCCTGCTTAGGCTACTGCCCCCGCGACCCAGACTCCAGATAAGCAAAAATAAATAAATAAATAAATTGAAAAAATGGATGGATGACTGGATGGAAAAAAAACATCTAGATAAAATTAATATCAAACATCAAAAGAAAGTAACCAGTAACGATACACGTAAACCCAATACTGACTTAACTGATTAACCAAGAGTCTACAGAGTGAGTCTTTCAACTGGTTTGTAAAGACGTCCATATATGGTGCAGAACTGACCTAACAAACCTGCCAGGTTAGGAAAGGGGGGCCCACGTCTCCTCTTCGGGCTGTGCCAGGCTGGGCTCCATGGGTAAAAGCCTAGCCAAGCGCTCGCCAATGTGGCCCAACTCCAGGCCTGGCTCCAGAGGGAGGCCCCGGTGACCCGGTCCGGGCGAGGGAACATTGTTTCCATTTTTCTTGTTCTTCATAAGGGGTCTTTAGGCTGCACTTTGTCTGATCCCTCACCTAGGACCTGTTTGTCATGGGTAGGGTTGTCACGGTAACCGGTATAGCGGTAAACCCCGGTAAAAAAGTTGACAATAAAAATAACCGTCCAGTTTTTAAAAAACTAAATTATCTCGGTGGGTTTACCGTGGCCGCGGTTTCAGCGCGGTGACCCTTACCAGCCACCGTCGCTTCAGCTGAAGTTCCCGCGCACACGCACTTTTTAGTTTGCAACGTTACCAAAACTTTGAAGCTGAAATAATGGCCGAAGGAGGAGACGGCAGCGCCCAGGACATCCATCAGCCCTCAAAGAAGACTAACTCGGAAGTATTGGCATATTTTGGATTTCTGAAAAATGCTGAGGGACAGTTAATAGAAGACGGCTATCCCGTTTGCAGAACGTGCAGGAAACAAGTGTCTGCAAAAGGCTGCAACACTTCGAATCTAATGGCACATCTGCGTGACCATCACCCACGTCTCCACAGCCAGTGCAAGGTAAGATAGCATTAGCATTTTAGCTTAAATGCATGACGCGAGGACTTTTGGTTGACGGAGAATGCAACGAGTCACTATATACTGCAGCCGCAGCGTCCTCTGCCAGCATTTAAACCGTGTCACGGACACCCTGTTGCTGGATGAAGCATCTTATTTGTTGATGATGAAGAGAAATATACAATTAGTTCCTTGTCATTGATTTGTTTACTTATTCAATGCCATTTATACTTGAACATTTGGATTTGATTACATAGTGTAGTAGTTATTTTAGTAATTTGTTTAAAGTGGCTATTTATTTTAAATACATATTTTTTTAAGGTTGACTTGTACAGTGCTCAAGTCAAGTGTGGACTGGAGTTTTAGATTTTCATTTTGATAATGAAGAAAACAAGTATATGAGAAAACAAGTGGTGTTTCTTTGATTTGTTTACATATTGTTTATGTTTTGAATGTTTGGATTTGTATAATTTAAACCTGCACTGACTACTGTAACATGTTCCAGAAAAAGAAGCTATTTGTTCCTTTACTTGTGAAAAGTTGCACTTTTGCTAAGGCTTTGTTATTTTAGGTTTAATAAACACTGTTAAACCTTTTCAAAACTATTTCAGTTTGTGTAGAACAGGACTATCAATGCTTTCTGAACATATGCAACACCGTTTAAAAAATACCGCGATAATACCGAAAACCGTGATAATTTTGGTCACAATAACCGTGAGGTTAAATTTTCATACCGTGACAACCCTAGTCATGGGTGACCCTACCACCTACTCTACCAGAGGCATAAAGCCTCAGACAACTTAGCTCCTTGGATCAATAGAACACTCAAACCCCTCCACCACGATAAGGTGGCAGCCCTCCCTGGGCTAAAAAATTAAACGTTGGCCTATGTAAGGGAACAGTGCATTTACATGCGCATTAGGATTGTGTTTGAGGAAGGTAAATTGCTAAATATTCCTGTATTTGTTGTTACTTGTGATGAAGTGATCAGATTTTCTTCCTCTACAGGAATGTTTTGAGCTATGTTGTGATAAAGTTTGCTGAACATCTTCCCACAGAAGATGAATGAAAGAGAAAAGTTTTCAGCGAAAACTTACGAGAAGCAGTTACAGCGTTCATCAAAAGCAATGTCCTCCAGACTGACATCTGGCTCCAGCCGAGGTTTGCTGCCTCCCTGTAACATATAAAAATCAAGACAGTTAATAACATTCTTCCTTTCTTTGGGGTGTGGTTATTCTCACAATAAACACATTTTACTGTTGGGGTGGTTTACAAATGAAACATTTATGTAGCAAGAATCTACAACTAAAGATCCTGGACCAGTGCAACACAGAATGAATAAGTGTTGGTTAAAATGAATTTCAGAAGCTGATAGAGAGGACAATGGTCAAAGGCCACAGTTTCCCCGGGATACAGCAGCTCCCTTGTTATGACTTCTATGTAGAAATCCCGCTGCAGATGCTTAGTAGTCGGAGGGTTGCTAGTTTGATCCCAAATCACTCCTAATCATTCTGTCCATATGCCCTTGGGACACTTCATCTGCCTTTCTGCTCACTGCTGTAAAAAAACAGCATATGACAAATATATAATTAATTTCTGATCTCTGACTCTTTCCCAGAGTATGGCAGAGACAAAGTGGCAGCCTTGCTTGCAGCTCTGTGTTTGTGTCAGCCTTTGCTGTGTTTCCCCCTAACCCCAACCCTCTGAAAGGATTACTATTTTTTTTTCTTTCTGGAATTGATCATGCAAAACCAAAACTTGTTTATTCGAGCAACTGTCTAATTGCACCGTGAGCACTCCTGCAGTGGTGTGGTAATGTGTTCCCCCACATCCCAAAGATTCTCAATGGGGTTAAGGTCTGGACTCTGTGGTGACCAACCCATGTGTGAAAATTATATCTCATGCTCCCCTTAACATTCCGGCCATTTCAGCCAAAGAGGCTTTAGTAAAAGCATACCCGAATTTGACTAAAAGCTGTAACTGAACCATTTGGACTAGAGGCATGATTGAGGTGTCTTTTTAAAGTACACACTAGGGCTGCAACAACGAATCGATAAATTTGATGAAAATCGATTACTAAAAGCGTTGGCAACGAATTGCGTCATCGATTCGTTGTGACACACAACTCTTCCAAAAGCCCCCCCCCACCCCCCCACCCCCTTGCGCACAGACCGGAGCAAGTCAAATCAGCGCGAGGGAGAGAGGTGTTTGGAAGAGAAACATGGCAGAAGCAGCGAGACCCAAAAAAGTAAAAACTTCTTAAGTTTGGAAGCATTTTCAGTTAAATCAGGCGAAGACATTCGTTACCTGCAACGTTTGTAGGTCAGACTTAGCATGGCACGGGAGTACTACGGTGATGATGCAGCATCTTAAACGTAAGCATGTCGGAATCATCAGCGAGGAAGGAGAGAGCTCAGTGTCTGGGTAAGTTAAAAACTTTTCAAAAGTGATTCACCCAAGCCCCGGATTATTACACAGGCTGGACATGCCCTAAGCTCGTAAAAAAAAAAGCCTATAAAGTCGTGGGTGCGATGCTTACTAGATGAATGGGGAGGGGGGGATCTTCCCGTAGACTCGCGCTGCTGCAAACCGGTTCCGCCGTCACATTCTCGCAGAAACTGGTTGATCACACCGGGGCCAGACTACTAGCATGTGGTTTTACAACCACAATGTCCTCGGAAGCGAAAACGCTTTTAAAAGGGAGGGAGGAGCAGTGTTGGGAGTGACGCGGTACAAAAGTAATTAACTACTGTAATGCATTGCTTTTTGCTGTAATGTGGTAATGTAAGGCATTACAGGGAAAGAAAATGGTAATATTTACTCGGTACAATTGTCAGTAACGCAGTAATTACAATGCATTTTTAAACCCAGAATCAAGGTGTGGGTTTCCTAAAAATTCAAATTGCGGGAAGCCTGAAAAAAGATCCAGTATCCACATGTATTACGTCATTTATGGACTCAGCTTTGCGAGCATTCTCTGTGCAGAGAGGACACAGCGGTAATGGCTCAAATACTCCAGCTGCGTCCTGCGCGCGGCCGCTGTTATATTCACAAAATCGCTCCACCAAAACAAAGTAATTCGTTTGCGATCGTTTATATCAGCCCATATTCTCTGGTACTTCATGTAATTTTCAGCTGAGTTCACAATCTGTGCCCCGGTGATTTCAACTCATTGTTGCTGGAGCACAGCGCGAAGCTTTATTTATTTATTTATTTTGCGTTCGGTAGATCCCTTTGGCTGATTAGTTAGAAAGTAGGAAATCTAGGAAACAGTTTTTCTGGAAGACAGAGAAAACATGCAGCATGCAGGAAGGTTAGAGAGAGAAAGGACAGGAAATTATTCAAATAAAATCAAGAAAACAAAACAAAGTGCTTGAAAAGAAAAAAGTAGGTAGATTTTTCCCCAATACACATTTTTACCAGTGAAAAGCAATAATATACATAAGCATTTTAATATTTATACTAGTGATAGAATCAGATCACCCCAGAAGTCAGTCCCACATCCAGGGCCGTATCAAGGCATTTGGGGACCAAGGCAAATATAGGCTTGAAGCCCCCACCACCTCACTCCCTGCTCAGTTAATATAAGATGGCAGCGTGCTGAGAGTACAGATTGTTGTTGCTTTCATTTAATAAACAATCATTTTAAAGCACTGTTATTATATCTGACTGTTTTAACAGCAACCCTAGCTCAGACACCACATCACTTTCCACATATATGTCATGAGCTCACTGAGCGTCAGATTACCAGATTCATATTGAAGTTGTTTTGGTGAAAATTACTTCAAGTAATGCAAAAGTAGTGTAATGCCTTACATTTTAAAATCAGTAATATTGTAATGTAATTAATTACTTTAAAATGAGGGTAACAAGTAATAAATAATGCATTACAGTTTTGAAGTAACTTGCCCAACACTGGGGAGGAGTTCTAACTGTTGCTGCAGGCGTGTTGTGTGAGAGTGCAGTTATATACTGGTTAATATATTTTTGGGTTCAGTTGCTTTCATGTGGCCTAATGTGAGTCTATTTGGGATCATTGGAATGATCAGCAGCATTTCTTGATGTGACTTTATGGCAGTTGCCCAGGGCATCATCACAAGGAGGATGACATTCATTTACTTTTGTTTTATTTGGTATTTTTTCAGTCATTTTTGGAAATAGTGATTAATTTTGATTAATTCACAGCCTATGTTTAATTACATTTAAAAATTAGTTGTTTGACAATATAGTTATAATAAATGTCAACAGATGAGATCAAACAAAACAGATGAGAATTGCCCTTAAGCTGTTTAACTTGGACCAAGAATTTTAGGTCACAGATAGATGTAGCTTAGGGTCTCTGTCTATGCACCTTATAAGACAATTTAGGTGATGGCATGTTGTTTTTCTGCTATTGAACTGTTTTCTAATAATGTTGTGTTAAATAAAGTGAAGGAAGGAGAGAAATAACATTTCCCTAGCAGTTTTTAAAAATTTCCCCATGTAATCCGATTAATCGTGTCGAGACCCCATCCGATTCATCGATTATCCAAATAATCGTTTGTTGCAGCCCTAGTACACACTCAGATGTTTTCCCCACAACAGTGAAAATTTATGTAAGTGATACCGTCATAGAGTAATATGGGATTTAATGCCCAAAAAATGTATGGTCGCATATTCATTTTAAAAAAATACCTGCTTTAAAAATAACATCAGTAATGAGATTTGGACTGGAAAACATTATGTGTCAATTGCCTGAAGTCTTTCCTTGTCCCACACCAAATTTTACAGTAATAAACCTAAAAATGAGCATTTGGCAGATATTTTTATAAGGTCCAGGCAATTCAAACGTGTGCTAAATGTGTGCCTTTTGGAGACCATTGCGACATACTTAGGAAAATAATCTGTTATTTTTGAAAGCTTCAACATAAAATCATAAACTTGGGCACTAATTAAAGATTACAAATGGGACTGTCCTATCCCACATCCAAATCCACTCTCAGTATTACTTACAAAGAGTAAAGGAGGCATACACTGATGTGTGCAGCGATCACATAGCGATGCGTAACTGCTCTACAAACTGTTGCTAAGACAAAGTTCGTTTATGCTCACACTTTGTTTTTGTTTGGTAGAGCCGACCCCCACATGTTAGATATCGTTCGTTTCAGAATTTAATTGGCTATTTGATGCTTCACTCACCAACAAACAGCTTTGTAATAGGGTCAAGCAGTGGCGGCTGGCCACTAGAGGGTGATAGGGCGCCGCCTCCCCAGTTTTCCTCAGTGTTTTTAATTTTTATTTAAAAAAATAAATAAATAAAATTAACAATAATCACATATTCTAAGTTAATTGTGTGTTTTGTAACAAAAACGAATCATATATATATATATATATATATATATATATATATATATATATATATCATTGGTGAGAAGCTCCCTGCCGAGCGGTGGAGGCGACAGAAAGATCGCCCATGTAGCGTAGCATAACGCTACACCCAAACGGCAGTGAAGCAGCCAGCCAATTGCTGACAAGAAAATCAAACTCATAGCAATGGGAATGCATCCAATCAGCGTCGTCGATTCGGAAGCCCGAAGGGCGATAGAGCTACCGCCCAAGGCTGTTCGTTAATGTTCGGGTTGAGCTCGACAGCTCACGAGTCATCCCGGGCACACATGGACAACACGGTGAAGCTAGCCATGCTAGGCAGAGCTAACGTTGCCATGCAGCTCGACGAGGGAAACGGAAGAAACGGAGGACGTTTGGACAGGGAGAACAACAGCAGCTGGGTGCAGAGGTAAGCTGTACATTACATTTCTGTGAACAAGACAATCAGAATCAGAAATCCTTGGTTGTCCCACAAACAGGGACATTTGTTTAATAACATGTACATTGTTTAATGTGCAATAACTGTAAAAACTCATTTCAACACACATACCTATTATACATATTTAATCATGTAAATGTGTATTTCATGTAAATTTGTACATACATCAATCTGATTCCATTTTACTTGTTACACTTCTGCTGCAGCAAACAAATGTCCCAGCTTTTGGGACAATAAAACATTTCTGATTCTCAATCAGATGTTTTTACATTTGAAGTAAAAACATCTCATTGAGAATCTGAAATGTTTAATTTTCCCAAAAACTGGGAAATATGACATTTGTAAGAGGATACTGATGACATTATTTCCTATGAAAGTGTTTCCATGTACTTATGATGTACTTATCTGTTGTTTTTTTATTTATCATATGACAGGTTTGTGACACTATCCTGAGCCATACAAAAGAGCGATTCTCTTTTACCAAGCACCTCGTTGCTGCCACTCTGCTACAAAGCGACTTGTTTGTGCAACACACAGCGCAGTTCCCAGATGCAGCACTGGCGACCGCTGTAGAGGCCTACCCCATGCTGAACAAAGCTAAGCTCAGAACAGCGCTATCCGTCATCTATGAGAACCATGAGTTCAGGGCTTGCACTGGTGCACTGACTCTCTTCCAGTTTTTCATGGAGAACAATCTTCAAAACACGCTCACAGAGACTGTCACTCTTTTGAAGATTCTTGTCACCACACCCATGACCACAGCCGAATAGGAGAGGTGCTTTTCTACTTTAAAGAGATCCTTCCACCTTTTAATGATTTGACTAGGGCCGAAACGATTCCTCGAGTACCTCGAATAATTAGACTACAAAAAAAAAAAAAGCCTCGAGTCAAATTGTCTGCCTCGAGGCTTCATTTAATTCCTGTTTAATTAATTCATGGCTTTGCAACGCCCGGGGTCATGTTTCACCCGGACCGAAATAAGTGACGCACATACACACTGCACTGAATGCACACGCGAGTAGCGAATGTAACTTCACTTTCTCTTAAGCCATGGTGGACAATATGGACCCCAGGGGAGTGCGAAAAAGACAGGAAATGTCAAAGATGTGGGACCATTTTTGACTTCGTAAGGCGGAAAACGTAGTCCAGTGTAAATACTGTAAAATGGATTTAGTCTACCACAACACCACATCCTTGATGCTGCAGCACCTGACCAGGAAACATCCACATGCAAATGTCATTCTGCAAGCAGACTCGGAGGTCCGCTATATATTCTGCGGACAATGTGTGACTTTTTCGTTTGTAGCACTCAGTTTCAGCTCACACTGTGCGTCTGGTACCACACGTTGGACCTAAAAATGTGCTAAAAATAGTCATTTATACACAACACGTCGGACTTTTTATTGTGTTGTTATGTCTCTTGTCCCTCGGGATAGCTGCAGGAGGACACAGGTATTTATGAGAGTGGCAGAGGAAAACTAAAGAAAGTAAATAAATGTTTTGTGATCAGTAAAATTTGACATAACCATGACAAACATGCATTCTCGACAATCCTTGTTATTGTATGAGAAAGTGTAGAAATTAAAACGGACGTGTGTTAATAGGGAAATAGCTAGCGAGCCATGTTTGCGAATGCGCCATGAGCGGTTCTGGTGCTGTTTGGGTCGCAGCCACTCACAGCGCTACTTCAACAGTTCTCCTCCTAGCTTTTTTTTGGCTTGCCAGGCTAGTAGATTCTCGCACGAGGGGAAAATCGACTCAGGTTGTATACTTATTTTTTGCACAGGCATTTGTTTACTGTGAAGTAAAGTTGAAGTGCTGAAGTTTTGATATAATTTTTTTAAATAAAATTTTGAATAAAACTTGAATAACTGGCAATTGCTTGCTCATTTTAAGAGGTCTTTCATATTTTATAACATGCTATTTAATGATTTAGAAACACAAAGGGTAATTTATTAGAGTACTCGATTATTCGATAAAAGTACTCGATAACAAAAATATTTGACAGCTGCAGCCCTAGATTTGACCCTTCTCAAAGAAACAAACATCTTTTCCACAACCACGAGATGAGTTTTTCGACAGGATTGTTTAGAAAATAAGATGCAACCCATTGCAGCAGTTTGGGGTAAAAGAACTTGTTGCCAGCTGAAAGATAATCACCCATGCAGTAATTATCCAACAGGAGATTCACACCTATTTGCTTAAATTTAAGTGAAAACATTTTTTTTGGTATAAACAATACAAATATGGATATTCCAAAAATATCCGGTCAACACAACTGGAGTGATATAAATCAGTATCAACTGATATGAAAAATAATTTTTCCATTTCATCCAGCGCCACTAGCAAGTCCAAAAGCTTAGTTTTTGGTTGGCAATACATTATCTTGCTGCAACCAAAGAAGTTAGGACCAGAACGAGGTTTTTTTCATTTTAAAACAAACCCACCCCTGTCTCCTGTCTTTGGATGTTGGAATACCTTAGTTATGGTGAGCAGGATGGAGAGGCGGTCTGCTGGACCTGGCAGCCCCACATACAAGGTTTTATCCAGACGCCCTGGTCTCAGTACGGCTGGGTCAATGATATCTGTAGAAAAATCAAAATGTGTGCCAACAACTGTGAAGGTAATACACATGTCTATTCAGTAGAGATGTAATGGTACAAGTATTTGGATTTTCATTTTTTGCTACGAAACAGAGGGATCCCCACGGCATCCATGTAGGACACCAGGGCCTTCATTTATCAAACGTTTGTAGAAAATGTTCTATATTATATCCCATGAATGAAATCTAGAATGTTCTTTTGCAGAATTTCTGGTTATGGTGGTCACATAGGAAGATGTTGTTTATGCTGCTCTGCAAAGATGTTTATGTTTATTCACTTAGCAGATGCTTTTATCCAAAGCGACTTACAATTTCTAACCTGTAGGGCATGTTGTGAACTGTGGGGGAAACCGGAGTACCCGGAGGAAACCCGCGCATGCATGGCAAGAACACGCAACTCCACGCAGAAAGGCCGCAGCCGAGTTTCGAACCTGCGACCTTTGTGCTGCGAGGCAACAGTGCTAACCACTGCGCCACCATGCAGCCCAGATAACAGTTGTTCAATATACTCTTACCTTCGATTGTTCTAACTCGGATGTTTGATGGTACAATGCCTAACCTAACTTAAGTGCAAAAGGGAAGAAGTGAGACTTAAAACAGCGGAATTATCCGACTACAATCTCCAGGTAAAACAGCCCAAAGCATGGATATGGCAACGATGAACAGAGACAGCGGACCCAAAATTAACAAAACGAAACAGATATTATTTGAACCGATCACAATGATTGATGTGTGTGCGAAATTTGTTCTCCACATTTGACCCATCCCCTGGGGGAGCGGTGAGCTGCAAACACAGCCGCGCTCGCGAACCATTTGGTGGTTTAATCCCCCAATCCAACCCCTTAATGCTGACTGTCAAGCAGGTAGACATTGGGTCCCATTTTTCCTAAGTCTTTGGTATGACCCGACCAGGAATCAAACCCTGATCTCCCAGTCTGAGGGCGCACACTCTACCACTGGGCCACTGAGCTGGTATCAAAGCGGATTCAAAGCAACCAGTGAATCATTACAAAAGAAAGACATAGATCTCACAACTGCCATTCATCTATTTGAGTCTTTGAAATTATTTCTATTATCAATTCGTGACCAATTTGATCATTTTGAAATGGCTGCCAAGAATGTTCCTGGAGTTTGCCAGTCATTTAAAGATGAACTGCAGCGGACCAAAAAACGAAAAACCTTTTCAGATGAATCCACAGAACATGAAATAACTCTAAAAGGTCAAGAGAGATTTCGAGTGGAAACATTCAGTGTCATTATTGACAGCCTAGTAAACTGTTTGGAGCACAGAATGGATGCATACATGAATACATTCAATGAAAAGTTTGCTATCCTGTTGAACATGGATTGTAAGGATCTGGCTGCCGTCCGCAAACGAGCTGATGTACTCGCTACACTGTTCCCATCAGATCTGGATGAAAATCTGGCAGATTGTGCCCAGGGGCCCCTGCAATGATAATCTGGCCCTGGAATCCCCTCACGTGCTGAGGACGTAGTGTGACCAAATATGGTTATTTGAGGGTGATTTTCTTTGTAAATGACTGAGAACAAACACGGTCATCTGGGAACGCACAGGTGAGATTTATCATCAGACGAGTGCGGAGGAACGTGCGTACGAGAGGCCACTGCATGATTCATAAATCGGGATTTTGACCGTTCGTACGAACATTCTAAATTTCGTTCATAGGAACGAATTTAGGAATATTTCAGTGAACGCTTGATGAATGAGGCCCCAGGTTTGCATGAGCCCCTTCATAGCTCTTTTTGGGCTCCCAGCTGATAACGTCTTGACTAATCACACACGAAAATATTGGCCTTTGTGTCACTTTTAGCCAGATGATACATATAGGGATCCTAAATCAGGTTGACTCATGGGTCTTTGGAAGAACAAAAAAAGAGCTACTATCTAATCAGCTTTGACTTATGCCCTGACTCACACATATGTTGTACTTTTATTTTAAATGAAAAGTAATGAAGTGTGTTACAACCACACCTGTCAAATACTTTGAGATTCATCAGCTTGTAAAAGTTCGTAACTAGCATGACTACAAATCAGACATCGGCACGTCGCATGTATGACATCACCACAGAATCTCATCTCCCCTAGCATAGCTGCTACTTACCACATAGCCAGATTTATGGTGGTTGTTTGCATCTGAAGGAAGGATTTGAAGTTAGCAGAACTCACAGCCATTTTCCCTCTGCTTTTCTCCGTGTCTGGTTCAATTACGTCACTTTCGCCATGCACATTTGTAGCCCTGGACTTATTTTCTTACAAAACCCTAAAAAAATGTTTCCTGCAGTGGCGCAGTGGTTAGAGCTGTTGCCTTGCAGCGAGAAGGTCCTGGGTTCGCTTCCCAGCCTGGGATCTTTCTGCATGGCGTTAGCATGTTCTCCCTGTGCATGCGCGGGTTCTCTCCGGGTACTCCGGCTTCCTCCCACGGTCCAACAACATGACTGTTAGGTTGATTGGTCTGTCTAAATTGTCCTTAGGTGTGAGTGTGTGTGCATGGTTGTTTGTCCTGTGTCTCTGTGTTGCCCTGCGATGGACTGGCTCTCTGTCCAGGGTGTACCCAGTCTGGTTGCCCATTGACCGCTGGAGATAAGCACAAGGCCTAAAGCCTCTAGCTCAACCGCAACACCATCCACACCAGACACTCGTCTACTCAACGACCAGATGGATGCAGCGGACATGAAGGCAGAAATCCTAACATCCCTGAAGACTGACATTGCCATGCTGCTCAGGTCGGAAATAAAAACTTCTCTGGCTGAGGATTTTGACGCCAGTAAATCTGAGCTTCTGGCGGTTAAAAAGGAGCTAGCTAACCACACCTCAGCTATCCGCTCTGACACGAAGGCGATGAAGACCACTGGGTGTGTCCGAATCCGTGGGAAGGATGCTTTAAGGGAGCATTTTGAGGTCGATGACGTCACAGCGCAGCGACGAGTACTGTCCGAATTCCAAGAATACTCATTCTCATGTCCTCAAATGCATCCTCGCTCCACCCACATTTCGAGGATGGGCCTGTTGTATCCTCACAGAACAAGGCTATCCCAGCATGCTTTGCGCGCCGGCTGTGGATTTTCAACAGAAAGAGAAAATGGGGAGAGCTACAAAGTTTTAAACATAAGTCTGTTCAAAAACTAGCTGTAGAAAACTAAAACGCTTAAAGCGGTTCTGTTTATAGACATTTTTTGTTTTATGTTTGTTTTTTAAATTACATTTTAGGCAGAAATCAGCCAGAATGAGTTTGTATCGCGGGTCCCGTAGTTATTCCCGTTTGTGTGTGTGTGTGTGTGTGTGTGTGTGTGTGTGTAGCGAATGAAACTTGTCATTTGTTTTAGGGACAACAGAGCGTTTTTATGAAGATTAGAGGTGAAGAGTAAAGCTGTCTACACATGGGTACAGTAGTTCTACTGTGTTCTGCTGTGAAAAGCAGTTTTACATTCAGGGATTTACACAGCTGACACATTTTATTGAAGTTAAAATTGTTTGTGTGAAGAATATAATTTTTATCTTCTCATGTGGATAAAAGTAAAAATGTGTTTATTGCCTTTTTGTCACCTGTGGTCTGATTTTCGCTGTAGGACTGCAGGTGTCCAGGGTCAGGAGAAGCTTTACCTGGTGGTCATCCTGGGAGAAAGGCCTTCTACTGTCATCATGTTAATGTTATTTAGCTGTTTGATATTTGAACACATTTATTAAAAAAAATACTTACTGGTAACTCTTTCTGGTAATTGATTTTATCTCCAGTTTTATTATTACAGATGTTTTTGAACATGTTACATGAACAGAAAATGAAAAGATGGTGAGGAGACAAGATTATTTATAATACGTTACACTTATTTACAGATCAAAACCAGTAAGGACCAGTTATGTACGGTTAAAGCAGGATTAACCTGAGTGACTCTTCCTGGATCATTTATTTAAACTGAGTGAGCAGGAAGTCTTTGGCAGTGCCGCTGGATCTGCTGCAGGAGGATCCAGACGCCATTTTTGGACTTAGTAAAATAGAGCTGACATACCTGGTGCTGAAGTCTGGTCCCAGCACTTTTTTCTGCATGTTTTAGATCTTGAACAGAGCTGATTAGTTTAATTTAGTGATGAGTCACTCCTGTAGAGACTAATGAAGGCTGGGGAGACTCGCTGGAGCGGTTCACAGCCGAGTGTGAAGCAGCCTGGATGAGAATCAGCTCCTCTAACTGAACAAATTTTCTCACATCAAATTTGATTTTAAAATTTGATGTTTCATGTTTTCAAGTTGGTTTTTATGTTTTATCTTCTTGATGTTCTTGCTCATGAAAAGCACAATGGATTATTTCTGTGTATCAAATATGCTATATAAATAAAACTGTAATAATATTGTCTATATAACAAATATGCTGGGATTATTCTAAAATTACAGAAGAGTGGTAACACTCAAAGGACCAGCAATGAAACAACAATTGTAATGAAGCTGTCATAATTAAGATGTATAACACTCAGTATGAAGCCTCCATCCATCTAGACCAGTGTTTCTCAACCCTGGTTGTTAAAGTTTTAATGTATCAAAGTTATTTTTAAGTCATCATGTTTTAAAGTAAGCCTCAGGGCTTTTTCCTTTCAGCCCAGCTCTGGTATGCTGATAAGACATGTAATTTGTCTCTGTGGGGGGTTGGTGGAATAAAGCCGGGCGTACATTGTGCGACTTTTTCACTTTTTTGAGCCGATTTTCCAGTCGTGCGAGAATCCACGACATCGGGGCGAGTTTTGCGCCGAGCGGTCGTGTAGTGTACAGGGGGTTACGAGAGGCGATTAACACCACGTGACAAGCCGCCGATCAGCAGTCGTGAGGTCGCACGGACTTCTGGTGTGTTTAATATTTTGCTCGTCCCTCGTGAGGGTATCGCACTGTTGAAGCGGCGCTGCGAGCAGCTGCGACCCAAAAAAGTATCAGAACCGCTCACGGCGCATGCGCTCGCAATCCTGCATCAACGCCGGTCGCTCGCTATTCCCCTAATAACACACGCTGTTCGTTTTTGTTTCTACACGTTTTTTTTACTCACAAAGATTGTCAAGAAAGCGTGTTTGTCGTGTTCATGTCAAATTAAACTGATCACAAAACACAGATTCACTTTCTTTATTTCGTTTTCCTCATCCAACCCCCATAAATCCCTCCTGCAGCACTCCCGAAGGACAACAGGCAAGACAAAAAAGTCTGACGTGTTGAGTAAAAACTGCTATTTTTAGCACATTTTTAGGGCCGACGTGTTGCTACCAGACGTACAGTGTGAGCAGTCAGGTCGCATGCGAGAACTGGGTCGTACAGTGTGAGCACACGACTCGTGAGATCTGCTCTGGGAGGAAGTCGTACAGTTTGAGCTGAAGCTGAACACTGCGAGTGAAAAAGTCGCACAGTGTACGCCCGGCTTAATCTGCCCGGCAACAGGAATCCATAGTTTGAGTGACTCAGCAGTTTTTGCATGTCAACAGGCAACTCCATAAATTGAGACTTCCTTTTTGGAATGTCCCGCCTTAGCCTAGAAGTAGCGCTGTTATTGGCTAGTGTAGACAGTAATGAATTGCTCTTTGTTCATTTTTTCCTGTGTTTCAGTAAAAACTCTGTGGTCAGGAGAGAGAGGTTAACGTGAGTTGGCTGAGGTTTTCTATCAGGTTTCCTCTGTTTCTTGCTCTCCGCTGCAGCGTAAAACCTTAATAATTCTTTCTCGTGTGTGGTTTATTTTAAGGATATAAAAATACCCAACACTGGTCCTCAGCGGCCCCCTGTCCTGCATTTTTCTATTTTGCCATTTCGAACAGCATTGTTTCTCTGCTGCCACACACCTGACTTAAATGAATGAGTGATTAACAGGCTTCCGCAGCACCGGACGTCGTTCTAAGGAGGCAATGCAAAAATGTAAACTAGGTGTGCTGTAGCAGAGACATGGAAAACATGCAGGGCAGGGGGGCACTGAGGACCAGGGTTGAGAAACCCTGATCTAGACCTTAGTGAGCTGAAGCTGGGTGTGTACCTGGTCTGTTGGTTGCAGCCATGATGAAAACCTGTTGTCGACCCTCTAAGCCATCCATCTCCGTGAGTAGCTGGTTGACAACCCGAACGCTGGCTCCTGACTGAACACAAACACTTCTTGTCAACAGATCCCTACATACACCAGAAGTAATGTTGTTTTCCAGAGCTGATCAGATAATCTACCAAAAAACACTGATCATACACAACAACTGAAGACCCTTTATGATGCCTTTTAGCAACACAGATTCCTCAACATTTCCATCCTTGGCACTAAGCCACTTGTAGTCCTACTCACATCGTGGCCCGAACGGCGAGGACACAGTGCATCAATCTCATCAAAGAAGATGACACATGGAGCAGAGTTACGTCCTCGCTGGAAGACTTGTCTGACAGCACGCTCGCTTTCTCCCACATACTGCACACATCAACATAGTTTCATCACCCTTAGCAATGCTACAGAAATTCCCACTCATCTCATATGGAGTGGGGCTGGCGACCCGACACCAGCCAGTCCTCTACACAGACAGGCTAGCTAGCTGCTAGCTCTTCACTCACCATGTTGAGCAACTCTGGACCCTTGACAGAGATGAAATTTAGCCCAGACTCGTTCGCCACGGCCTAAAGATGGAAGAAGAAAAGTTTATATATATAAAACTTTTCAAGATAAAAGTAAGAAGATGCTTCATAAAGAGAATAGGAGATGAAATTTAAAAAAAAAAAAAAAGCAGATCAAAATATACAGAATGGAAACACAAGCAGGTGAAGATGCTGATGATCCCCTTTTCAAATTCAAAAACAAAAATACTTTATTAATCCCAGAGGGAAATTGATTGCTGTAGTAGCTCAGAATAATAATAATAATCAAGTCATCAAAGAGTTATTGTATATTACAATGGCTGTTGGCAGGAAGGATCTCCAGTAGCGGTCAGTGTTGCAGCGAAACTGAAGAAGCCTCTGACTGAAGACACTCTTTCGTTGTCGGACAGTCTTGTGAAGATAATGCTCAGGGTTGTCCATAATTTTCTTGATTCTCTGGAGAATCCTTCTTTGCTTTATCTCCTCCATCGGTTCCACAGTCAGCCCCAGAACAAAACCAGTCTTTTTAATTAGGCTGTTGAGCCTTTTCAGGTCCCTGCTTCTGATGCTACTACCCCAACAGACGATGGCAGAAGAGATTACACTCTCAACAACAGACTTGTAGAAGATGTGCAGCATCTTGCTACAGACATTGAAGAACCTAAGCGTCTTCAAGAAGTGCAGTCTGCTGTGTCCCTTCTTGTAAACGGCTTGGCAGTTCTTTCTCCAGTCCAGTCTGTTGTCCATGTGACCTCCAAGGTATTTGTATTCCTCAACCACCTCCACTTCTTCTCCCATAAGGAAAAAGTGTTTGACTCCACTCTGTTTCTTCTGAAGTCTAAAATCATCTCCTTTGTTTTGTTCACATTCAAGGTCAGATGATTGTTTCCACACCATGCCATCTCTGATAAACCCGACGACTGCAGAGTCATCTGAGTATTTCTGTAGATGACAGGTCTCTGATTTGTACTGGAAGTCTGAGGTGTACAGGGTGAAAAGAAATGGTGAGAGTACAGTCCCCTGTGGTGCTCCAATATTACTGATTGACTGGTTTGATGTGCAGTTCTTCAGCCTCACAAACTGTGGTCTGTTTGTCAGGTAGTCTTTAATCCAGGAGATAGTTGAAGCCCCCACCTGTGTCTTCTGGAGTTTCTGGCAAAGAACATCAGGCTGGATTGTGTTAAATGCCCTGGAGAAATCAAAGAACATGACCCTCACAGTGCTGCCTGCTGTGTCCAGATGACAGTGGGTTGGTTGCAGCAGCTGGATGATGGCATCTTCAACTCCAACTCCATGGCGATAAGCAAACTGCAGCGGGTCCTGATATGTCCTAGTTTGCTTATTCAGGTGGACCAACAGGAGTCTCTCCAGGACCTTCATGATGTGGGATGTCAGGGCAACCGGTCTGTAGTCGTCATTGACTGATGGGCGAGATGTCTTTGTATTGGAACAAGGCAGGATGTCTTCCACAGGACTGGAACCTTCTCCTGGGCCAGGCTGAGGTTGAAGAGGTGCTGCAGAATCCCACAGAGCTGCTCTGCACAGGCCTTCAGTACTCTGGGGCTGACACCATCTGGACCTGCAGCCTTGTTCCTGTTCAGTCTCTCCAGCTGCCTCTTCACCTGACTTCTAGTGACAGATAGGTGGGAGGGGGAGGTAAATGGGGCAGCAGCATCTCCTGACGTGGTTGAAGACTGATTTATAGAACCAGAAGAGTCCATGACTGCGTTAGAGGACAAAAGATCTGGCGTGTGACAGGAAAAAGTTGGATCAGAGGAGGATGGGATGTCTGATTGGCTGGGGACAGGCGAGGAGGATGCTGGGTTTGTTCCTGAACTGAACCTATTAAAGAACTTGTTCAATTCATTGGCTGTGTCCGGGCTGCCATCTGTGCAATCCTTCCTCTGCTTGAAGCCTGTGATCTTCTTCATCCCTGACCAGACATCTCTGATAATGTTCCTCTGTAGTTCTCCAGCTCCAGCTTCTTCCTGTATGCCTCCTTGCTGTCTCTGATCTTGATCTTCAGTTGCTTCTGTATACTCCTTTTTGTTTGAACACATCCTGCAGTTTTTAAATAGGGGGACCTTAAGGAAATCCAGCAAGATCTCATCAACCCCCGGAGCCTTGCCACCGAGGAGTTGTTGACCATCATAGCTGTTTTACTGCCTTGTGAGCAACTTGATATACAATTTCGAAAATTTGATAAGATCATAGAATTTA